TTACGGTTCTTGAGGACGTCCGGCTCGTTGTAAGCGCCCTGTACGGTGCTCTGAGTCAGCCACACCGGCCTCTCCTTTGGCGCCTTGCTGTCACCGGCCTGTTTCTGCTGCTCCTCCTGGTCCATGTTGATGACCACGTTCTGGGTGTACAGATCAGCGTACGTCGATCCTTTGTTCGACCAGGCTTCGCGGTGCGGGCCGCTCGCTGCTCCTGATGCTGCAGCACGTTCTCGGCTGCAGGAAAGAGTCAGCGAATAATATTTACAGCTAAGTTAACACGATTAAGTCTGAGAAATGTGCCCAGTTCACTCGTTTCGGTTCCTCCTGTGGCTACAGACAACAGCTGACCACAGCGTAACCGCTAACTGCGGTGAGCTGTTCGAACGAGGGCGATGCTGCGAGGCAGACTGACCTCTGTTTGAGAGCAGGAATCTCAGCAGGCTCAGGCTCCAGCAGCTCATGGGACAAGTTCACGTCCTCGGTTTCACGGAGCAGCACGTAGATGGGCTCGATCTGCTCGTTGAAGCGCGCCACGAGCGTCCTGGCGTCAGGACAGACAGACTCATCCTCTTCTACCTCCGTCTGGCAGAAGGTACAGCGAAATGTACCTGCAGGTGAAAAACAATCATTACAGACCTGCCTACAGGGCGCTGCATGGACCGAAGCCTGTAATACAAGCCAGCAGAGAAGTTTAGGCTCCAACTACTTTACATACCAGCTGATATATCACAGGAAGTGAACCTGCTGGTTGCCATTGGTGCCATTTGTGCTCTGATTTTGGTGATTTATAACCAATCGGGGTCAGGCTTGGTCTTCATGGAGGCTGGGCGTGGTTGTGTCGACACAACAGGAATAAGAGCGCTGACAGAGACTCTTGCATTAAACAGGAAACGTCTGCGAGGGAAACTGTATGCTGTGCGCACCACACTTGCTTCCTACCATTAAGAGAAGGGCACGCTTCGACCATCTACTTCTCTGGCCGATTTCAGCTTCAGTAGCGGGAGCCGTGCCAGCAGCAGCGCAGAGCTCACGCCTGCTTTATGTGTATGAGAGGACAAAACCACCCAGACCCCGAAAACTACTATTACAACTAAAGCACCTCCAGATTAATGCAAATGAAGTGAACAGTTACAGCTGAGGCTGCTCAACAACTGAAAGGCAACAGCGTCTCATTAATGTACAAACTGTTGTTTGTGCATTTAAGATTAAAGTGGTAAATACCTCATTAAGATCTTATTTATCCTCGATGTGTGCCAAGCGGCACCAAGCTGAGATTACTGGAAAAAATCATTACAAAGTAAATCACGTAAATATGATGAATACGTTCATAATGGTCTGGCACTGGTCTCTGGCTCAGCACTGAAACATTCTGCTTTTCCTGTACAGAGGTGGAGAACATGTTGGCCGAAGGTGAGGAATGAGCACGGCAGGTGGAGTGAGTGGAAAAAGATCACGTGTTACAACATTCACGGCGCGCTGTGAAAACAGAGCTGCAGGGCTTCGGCTCTCCTTTGTGGGTCAGAACGAGCTGGAAGACCAGCAGTGTCGTGTCCGATCCTCGTGAGGTTACGCTGAGTGTTGCTGGCCCGACAAAAACAGCCCATCAAACTACCAGCAGAGCTGCAGGTACCCGAAGGCTGAACCCTGACCGAGGCAAAGCAGCAGAGACAGGGAGCGGTGCAGAGGAACCGTGAGGCGTGTCATCACAAACACACCGATGGCTCATTTATCCAGAGTGACCAGACTGCACATCTATTCTGTCCCATTCGCGTCTTTTCTTAGAGCTCGATCATTTAAACACACCCACATTTTAACATAGTGATTCTACAGTGAATCAACCTGACAGCCAACAACATCAACTATTTACAACATTTATCCCAGTAAACCACAAGTACTGGACAGAATTATTCACTGAAAATGAGAAACCATCTTTAATGATTTGTTGACCACTCCTGTGTGAGTCCTAGAAGCCGAGCCGGATGGTTGGCAGTCAGCCCCGACCCTGGCAGGCAGTCAGCGTGGTGTCACAGCTTAAAGCTGCCGCAGTTTATGAATGAAAACAGCTCACAAACAAATACAAACCTTTGCAGAGAGAGCACAACGTGGACAACGTTTCTAATGCAAATCAGGATTTTTAATGCACATGTTGGCCCTGCGACAGACTGCCGACCTGTCCGGGGTGTACCACGCCTCTCGCCCTATGACAGCTGGGATAGGCTCCACCCCCCGTGACCCTGACAAGGATAAGCGAACGAGAATGGATGAATTTTAGCAAACACACATACAACCCAGTTCATCAGTTCTGGGGATGTTGCTTCAATTTCTCTAAAACCAAATTCAAAGAGAGGCCATTTTCCCAAAATGCATTGCATCCTGTGTAATACAGTAATGTGCACTGCTCGGAAACGAAGCACTTTAAAACATCAGATCAGAAATAAAATCCTGCTGGATATCTGCACCGAGCTCCAACAGCAAAGTGAGAGTGGCTCCAGTGTGACTGCAGGGAGACAGCAAATGTTCGGGTAAGGGCGCGTACTGACACTATCATGGCCGCTGTAAGTCACTGATTACCAACTATTTAAATCTGACGTAAAAGTGAAGATTCTGGGTTTTTAAAGTGCACAAACGGTTTCATGGTCACCTACGTTTGGTCTGTGTCATTCAGAGCTCATCATTATGCAGCATATGCAAGTATGTGTGAGGCTTATGACTCATCCTTATTCAAATAACAGACATTTAAAGTGAACTTTAACATGGCAGAATGTTAGCGTACGACTTGGAGCTTATACAAAGCCACGTACACGTCATTAGCTTCAATGGCAGTCTTTTCATGTCCACGTAGCGCTGCTAACAAAGCGCACACACACACACACACATTTAGAAGTAACTCTGCATTAAATGGACAATGAACAAAATTCATGCTTCTATCTCTATAACGTACACGATCCTCTGTTTGTTCATACTATAGTTTCATTAGGAGGAATTGTCATTAAATGTATCCTGCTATGTGCTGTTACTGCCATCTAGAGGTGAACTGAGGAGCACACAACATAATGGAAGTGCAAACAAAAAACAACACATCAGATCACAAAGTGATCCTTGCATCAAAAATACTGAAGTCTTCATTTAACTTTGACAAACTCATTTCTGTACATCCACTGTGAATCACTGCCAGTCGTGAGCGCCTGCCTCGCTTTCCCCACATATTACATCTGCAAACATTTTCCAGATAAACTGAGAGCCAGATTTACCAGGTTAGGATAATCACAGAGGGGCAAACACGTCCACAGAGGGAGAAAGTTCTGCATCTATTGATTTAAAAAAAAAAGATGAAGAGTGTCGTCCTCCCTCCCGCTGACACTGCACGTCGAGTTCAGTTACTTTATGCTTGGTTTTAAAAACAAACTACTGAGGAGCAGAAATATGTGGGGCCTTGCTCCAAACCAAAGGGTTTAAGACTCAGTGAAGATCTACGGGAAAGAGCCAAAGCTGAGGCACCACGCTCACCGCTTTGAGCCGTCCACCTGCACCAAATACTCAGAAAACGACAAGTTTCTCTGTGCACGCAGCATGCTATTTAAATATATATGAACTCTCCCCACCCGCGGTAAAGAAGCTTCTAATTAATTATTCATCCCATAAAAGCTGGACTAAAGTCCCGTCAAACTGCCAGAATGCTTTCAAAAATCCAAGCGTGTTGAATATTACAGTATAGCAGCACTGGTCTGCACCTTTACCTGTCATAGGGTCGAAGAGTTGGTTGGCCTCGAGGTCGGTGAAGGTGGAGAAGCAGCAGGGACACCGGAAGGAAGCGCGGTTGGTGGAGTCTCGCTCATCTGTCTCAATGCGTCGTCGCATGTGATCCAGTTTATACTTGACCACATTGACCAGTACCCTAAAAAGATGTAAGACAGAAATAAGACTACTGAGTCTAAAGTGTCCAACACACACACGCGCACACACACACACACACACACACACACACACACAGCAGAGATTTAAACCTGTAATTAATGAAGTAGTAGTTGTGTCTCGTTGTCTTGCCATCGGGCGCCGTCTCCACCCTCATGCGGCACTTCACAAACTTGTCTGCTTTTAGGGTATTGAGTACTGAGCGCAGCTGCTTGCGGTCATACTTGAGCAGCTCCAGCATGTCCTCCTCACGCACACATGGGTTACGGATCAGCACATCCAGCGCCAAAGCATGCTCCAGGCCATAAAAACCCCTCACGACCTGCTTGGCCAGCCGCTTCAGAGCTGCGGGGACCTCGGTCAGTACCGCTGGTTCAATCATCTTTGGGTCTGGAGAGAAAGAGCTGCAGGGCAGAGTGCGACAGCGGGGAGAACATCAGGAAGGCAGGGATGAGGAGCAGGGCCAGAAGAGTTATCCAAGTATAAAACTTTAAATTTAAGAGGGAAGTGTAAGGTATACTAGAGCACACCAGTAGGAGAAAAATCCCGGCCGCGTTATCGATGTCAAATCATCAATCACAGCTAGCGTAGCTTAGCTTAGAGCCAAACAAAGACTTTAAACATAATGCATCCGGTTGGCCGGTGTTATTGTACATTTTAAGGTAATACACCACAATAGAAAGACGGCGTGTTAATCGTTTACCGGTCATCTTATTATTTCACACTTTATCTTTAATAAAAGCTCGATGAAGTTACTTTTATTTAAGTTAAGCGCTAACACTGAGTTGGCCTGCAGAAACCCGGCAGGCGTTAACGCGACCCTTACCGGTTATTGTTTATGTGCCAACAGTCATCTCAGAGTCACACACACCGACGTAAACTCACAAAAACACCGCTAAAACTCACCGAACACAAACGCACGTCACGGTCCTTTAGCTGCTGGGTTAGCCAACATGTTTCACTTCTTATTTTGAGACGACGACCCCGGAAATGAAAAATAAACCCGGGCCAACTGAAATGTTGGCCCGGCTGCACTAAACTGCACCCATAGAAGCGAAGACGCTTGAGTGACGGGCATGTTGGCGAATAGCATGGCTTTGTTTTCATGGGGCGTGGTTTTAAGAACACTGTTTACTTCCTGATCGCGTCTATCAAAAAATGGCCTCTCTTGACAGGGTAAAAGTGTTGGTTTTGGGAGATTCCGGTGAGTTATGAACTATTTTCACAAGCAAAACCTTTACTACTGTCTGCTGTTCTTTATAAGGACACTTGCTTATTCTGAACGGAACAACTCGCTCACTTATAAAACTCTTAATCTTTAAGTAGGAGACCGACGCTGTGGTCAGTTTGCTGCTGTGGCAGTTAAAGCTACGGATAAACATCACGTAACACACCTGTCATGTCTAAGCTCACGGGTAATTTTCACAATAAAGGTACATCGGCGAGCGACGCTGAATTTTAATACCCGTCATTTTTACATCGGTCACTTTGCGGCAGGTGGATGTAAGAAGAGTGTTTGGGTGTGAAACGATTCCACACCAAGAGTTTAAATTCCACAGAAGCACGTTTTGCCGAATCAGAGAGCCACACCCTACAGATCATTACGGATACTCACTGATGTTGTTCCGGAGATGTGCTCTGCTGGAAGCCGAGTCTGTCGTAAACTGACTCGATGTTTCGGTGGAGTTCAGTCTTCCAGTCAGCAGCAGCTGTAGAGTCTATTCATAATTTAAATCCATTAATATCGATCAGCTACACAAAAATGTTTAACCTGCTGTGCTTTGCATCAGCTCCTTTTATCCAGTATCATTTTGTGCTCTTTGCAGGGGTTGGCAAGTCTTCCTTGGTCCATCTGCTATGTCAGAACCAAGTTTTGGGAAATCCATCGTGGACTGTTGGCTGCTCTGTAGATGTGCGGGTAAGCAGGTCCAGCATCTTCTACTTTACAAAGCCCTGCTGGCCTTTTATTTTAAACTCGTATAGAACATGACAGAACACACTAACGAGAGGGAGACGGGTGTAACGGTGAACCTGAAAGGAACAGGTGCACAGGTTTAAATAGCAGGGTGTCAGGGGTGATCTGTGACAGAAGGATAGCAGCAAGAGTGAGAGGGCAGGTAATGAGGCCTGCTATGATGTATAGTTTGGTGACTGACAAAAAGATAGGAGGTAGAGCTGAAGGTGTTGGGTGGGAGTGACCGGGATGGACAGGTTTAGAAATGAGTCCATCAGAGGGACGAGGCTGGGATGGTTTAGGCATGTGCAGAGAGGTAAGAGTGAGATGGCGCCCGATGAGCTATTGATGTCGAAATAATTATTCTACTCCAGGTTCAAGACTATAAGGAGGGGACCCCAGAGGAGAAAACCTTCTACATTGAACTCTGGGATGTTGGAGGATCCGTTGGCAACGCCAGCAGCGTCAAAAGCACGAGAGCAGTCTTCTACAACTCGGTTAACGGTAAACACTTACAGACAGATCTGAAAGCATTGATTTCATCAGTGACGTGTTATTGAGACATGCTCTTCATGTTTGGGTTCTTTTAGGAATTATATTGGTCCACGATCTGACCAATAAGAAGTCCTCTCAGAATCTGTACCGATGGTCACTGGAAGCTTTGAATAAGGATTCCTCTCCAACTGGAGTCATCGTTTCAAACGGGTGAGCAGATCTGTGTGTTCGACATCGCCCGTCTTCATTCAGAATAATAAACAGAAAACATGGCTAATGTGGAAGCTTCGATATTTGACTGCAGCGACTATGACAGAGAGCAGTTTGCAGAGAATCCGGTGCCTTTGCTGTTGATCGGGACCAAGTTTGACCAAATTCCAGAAAACAAGCGCAGTGAAGTCCTCACTCGGACGGCTTTCTTGTCCGAAGACTTCAATGCAGAAGAAATCAATCTTGTAAGTCGCCTCACTCTGCTCTACGAGCTCTCAGCTTCAGCTCCTTTAAACCAATGAATCGGTTTCATTCATTGTTTATCTCTCACATAAAGCACAACTCATGTTTAACACTCATAAAAAAGGAAACTAGACTAATGATGAAAATAAAGCGGCGATTCACACACCACCTACGTTTTTCAGTCAAAAACAAATCCTAGTTCACAACAATAAAAACAACACATGTATCATAAACATCACAGCATCAGTAAGCTCCTCTCTGTCCTGTGTCTGGTCCTCCAGCCTAAAATAAAACATGTGGAAGCTGCTGTGGTCAGTTTCACTGCGGGAGCTGAACGCTTTTGGTGTTGTGTTGTTTTCCCAGGACTGCACCAACCCCAGATACCTGGCTGCAGGCACCTCAAACGCTGTGAAACTCAGCAGGTTCTTTGACAAGGTGAGAGCTGTGAGCTGCGTCACTGCGGTCTGCCAGGCAGGCCGTGACTCGGGCTGCGTCCACACTAGCCCAGATAGATTAGGGTTAGGGGGGAATGTTTTCTGATGAAAACGCCGTTCCGGCTCATCGAAACGTCGCGGCAAAATGTGGAGGAAAAGCAGCGAGTGTTTTAAATGGACTCACAATGAGGTGGAGTTGTTGCTGCGAGTAACACAAAAGTACAAAGTGGCAACAGTGAGTGAGAATTAAAGAATTCTTTGTTGCTGTCTTTGTTTAATTAGTCACATGACTGCATCACATGACTAACATGCGTCATCATTTTAGAAAGTCTCTGTTTTCAAATGTGTGCGTCTCAGTGTGGACGGGAGGCCAAAACGGAGAGACGAGGTTGCGTTTTCAAACGAAAATGCATTCGTGTGGACGCAGCATCACACGCGTGTGTGCACCTCCGTCTTTGTGCTGCGGTTACACGTGTGGATTTATCGAGAGCTGTCAAACGGGGACAAACATCATTTGGGCTTCACGTTTATTTTGAATCATAGACCTGGAGGATAAATGTCTCACATTAATGGGAGTCCTTTCTCTTGACGTGTACGTGTGTTCTGACTTGTATTAAACCTTTCAACAGGTAATAGAGAAAAGATATTTCACCAGAGATCCCAGTCAGGTCAGTTTGTTTTCGCTTTTTTCTGTCCAGTCAGAGTCGTAACAGTTTTGGCAAAAGGTTGAAGGTGACCTGTTTCCCACTTTCTCTGCAGATGACTGGCTTCACAGACAGAAAACGGTTCAACTTCAAAAGTTTGCACTATGACTGAGACCTGTGATCAGACCCCGCCCACTCAGACACGCGCTGGAAGTGAATCTAGAAAAGTTTATAAAAGCTGGAAATGACACATGAAGAAGGTGCTGAGGACAGAATGAAGAGGCACGCTTTGAGCTTTTTATTACACCATCATGTTTTTAGAACATATGCTTTACTGCTCCTCTGACTCGTGCATCATTCCTGCTCCTCCATTGTTTGCTTGATCCACGGGATGAAGGAGCTGACTTTAGTATAGACATGCGGGTACTGTGGATTATTGCAGTCCTCTCCCCAGATGAAGGCTGTTATACCCTGAGGCTTTGTGTTGCAGATAAGTGGCCCACCGGAGTCTCCCTACAAAGAAAGACTTGATTGAGCGATCTGTGTAAAGGTTGCACATTTTACATGAATAAAAGACTAAACCTGTATTTGAGTTATTAGCTGCTGGGCTGCTTTTGTTATTTCGTTACCTGGCAAACACCTCCATCCCGTCTGGTAAACTTGGTGCATATCATGTGACCAGAGTTAAAGTGTTTTTGCCAAATGTGTTTGCACTCAGTGCTGAACTGCATCTTCTCTGTGGCTTCTTTAAGGACACTTGAACGAGATCCATTAGCTCTGGTTAGTCCCCAGCCGGCCACAGCACATTTAATGTTGGCGGGTGTTTCCCCGTTCTTCTTAGGCAGTCCTATGGTCCTCACGTACTTATTCAGCGTGGCGTTCTTCTTCAACTGTCAAAGAGAATCAGTGAAAGTTGCTCCTGCATCAGTTCAACACATGAACCCAGTGCACAGGGAATCAGGTCACTTTAAACTTTTTCACTTTACCTTCAGTAACATGATGTCATTGTTTAAGTTCCCAGTGAACCCTGGATGAGCGAAATACTCGTCCACTTCGATGCGTTGCTGAGTTCTCTCTTTCTTGGTGATGTCGTGTGCTCCGAGCACCACGGTGCAAGAACCCCAGGTCTCATTTCTGAACAAGAAACACAAAGTTCAAAGAAGCGTCTGCAGTCGCACTGATACTACGGATGGTGTGAATCATAATATCGACACAAATGAAGGTCCATGCAGTCTTCTCAGTGTGTTGCAGCGCTCCAACACCGTTAGAAAAATGACTCCCAGGAAAACTGTGGTGGCCCATCACCCCACACAAACACCTTCCACTCATTTATATGTAACTTGATGGTGTGTCCTCAGTATCACAGTTCAGCTGTGACACAGTTTTATCATAGTGACTGCTGATAGAACAGCAGCAGCTAAAATAACATCCTTTTTTAAAAACAGTTATATATATATACACCATATAAAAAGCGTACTTGCAGTGAGCTGCAGTCAGAACAAAGTCCCTCTGAATAAGGATCCCTCCACATGAATGTACTCCCCGATACTGGACTGACACCATGTACGGTCTGGAGTGCGGCTTTGCCTCCCTGCCACCGACTATGCCGCTCTCAGCAGCCCCTTACAGGAGAGCAAAGGTCAAATCAAAACAGCGACCACAGAAAATTCTTCATTTTGGCCTTTAAAGAAGTGGGAAACTGTATTTCAGCGCAGGTCTAAAATATCCTGTCATTGAAACTCTGCCAGTCTTCTTACCTGTGAGGGAGATTTGCAGAAAGACGTAAAGGATGCAGCAGATCATGGTGGGACAGACGCTGCAGGCTTGCAGTGACCCCCCCACTCCACACGTCTCTTTTTATAACACGCCTCCCACAACAGAAACTTTGTGGTCAGAAGTTTCTGCACGGATATCACACCTTTGTCTGCACCGCTGCATGTAACAGGTGGTGGTGCATCACACACCTCCAATCATTTACCAGCAGAACATTATTTCTGTTTTCAGGATGAATTAGAGTCCTGATCATTCATTTATTATTATTATTAATTCATATTTTCAATTATGTATATAAATATATCTAAACACGATTCAATAAAAGGACGAAATGTTACGATGCAGTGCTTCATATACAGAAGGTCTTGAGGGATTGCTGCTATGAGGGAACTTTACCAGCGCGACATCGTTGTGTGCTTCAACTTCACAGGATGTTTCGCTCTTTTATCACAAGCTGTTCTGCCAGTTTTTAGTTTCTCTTTACCTTCCTTGGTTGGGTTTAGAGATTAGGAATCTAGTCTGGATTGTCATATTAAAATTTTAGGACACATCGTCAGTAGTGGACGTTGGATTCCTCGGGTGTTTTGGCCATTATCACTAGACACTCACCCAAGGAGGCCCTGTCACTGGTTTATGTTATAATGTTATTTCTCTTCTTCTTTCTGCTGTTTAATTTTCTACAGTTTATTTTATCAATTCACCACAAAAGTTCTACTTATCTCTTTCATATTTAAAGAGCCTCACTTCTTCAAAGGGATAGAAAAGGTGATCGCAAGAAGTAAGACAAAAGAGACAAGATAGGAGCGAGGAGAGCCGGAAGGGGGGCGCCTGATCTGGCATCCCACACCTCCCGCCGGATCCTGCTGTACGCTCTGCCTCCCAGAAAAAGGGAGGAGCAGAGGGGAGAAGAGTGAAAATTCTAGTGTTGGGCTTTCTATGATTTTGAAGCCCCCTGTTGAGGCAGGCCCACCACGGGTTGATCAATCCTGGGCGTGTCTCGCGGTTAGCTGACTGCCTTAGCTGCACGAGTGATGTCAGCCCTTTTTAACAAAAGACAAATGCTGATGGATACTGACGCTCCTCTTGGTTGGTGAAAGGTTGAGCAATGATGGATTTTCTTTTGCTCTCAACTTTCTCGGCTACACACCTGAGGACCTGGTTGTGTCTCCATGTGGATCTGCCCTGAGTACGGCTGGTCCTACAACCAACCAACATGTGCTTGAGTGTGGCTGGTGTCCCGATTCTTTCTTGATGTGCTGAGAAAGAACAACCAAAACTCAGAGCAGGTTCAGTCAACAAGAATGATTTATTAAGCACATGCATGGGGGGATGTACACAAGACCACCTTCTGTGTCGATCTCCATAGAGGAAGCACACAGGCTCCACTATTTTAAGGGCTGAAGGGCTAAACCTGCCCTGTCCGCATAAGCAAAGTTTATTATCCTGCAACAGTGACAGTTAAGTTCAACCCCTTCTAAGGCACTCATGTTTGCACTTCACTTATAGTCTCAATGCTCTTTCACCCCCAATCTGTTTCCTCTTATTCTCTTTTAGCAAAGTAAAAATAGGCAACGTTCTCTGCAGGTCTGCACAGTTTCAGTCTGGCTAAGCATTGCAATAACCTCTGATACAGTTTATCACGGAAAAACAAAATCCACAGCCAATAAACACTAGAGAATGTGTTTTCTTACATCTTACTCTGACTGTCACTGGGCAGACGTGTGCACTGTTGCAAGCAAAACACTTCTGGTAATACCCTATAATCCTGCACATTTCATTAGCAGCTGGATTAATATGGCCTTTGCTAAAATATTACTTCATGATATATTCTCCACCTTCGAAGAAAGTCACAATACAGCTGACGCCGCTACTCCCCTGCCAGCTCGGCCGATCTCACCTCCAACAACGGCATCATGGGTGCGGGGCCTTCCAGTCCCGCGTCCATGGCCCTTGCTATCACCCTCTCGGTCAGCCGTCTGATACAGGGAAGGCAGCAACAGCTGCACGTGACCAGGATAACTATAAAGACTGTACACAGGGGGCAGGATGGGTCCTTTCCAAACCACAGCTGCAGATTCATTGGGGAAGGCAGCACATCGTATGTCGCTTGGATGAAACGTAGTCTATTAGACTCCATCCCCCAGATTTCACTCCATGAGAGTTTCCTCTTTCCCACACTCTCCCAGTTCATCCAGCGACCCTGCTTGGCCAGCGCTACGGCTCTGGCATGTCTGGCTGTTTCCTCCTGCCGACGCACCTCCTCCACCACCATTTTTCAACCTTCGGTTACAGATGCCTGTTGCCACCGAGGTGTTACTGCTCCAAGACCAAATCCTCCTCTGCCCTGCTGGACGTGACCCACCACGTCACGACGGTGAAGAGCAGATTTGGCCTGTAGCACAGATGTGGCCGGGGTCTCGGGAGTCCGTAAGTGACATCTCAAGCCTCACTTTTGCACATTTAATGTCCTCCACCAGACTAGTGATAGGCAATGACAGTATAGAGTCCAACACTGCTGAGGCATTTGGGAAGTCCGAGCCACGTGCTCGCGTAGGAGCTCACCAGCCTCTGCAGTCGATTGGCATGACTGAGTGAGACCTGATACGTCGTCAGTGGCCGCAGTAGTCTGGGAGTGCAGTGTTTTAATCTGGCCGTTAGCCTTGTTCTGCCGTGGTTGTTCAAGTTGCCAGGTATCATATATTCATATTTTCAATTATATATAAACACAATATATTTTATAATGTCTGTGGTTTTATGAGACCCTGAACATTGGTCCTGAGGGTTTGTCTCATCGGCTGCCTGTTGACTGCATGTGCTTTAAAGTAAGCCGTCTGGGTTGGTGGTAAATACCCGAATGGAAAGTGTGTGTCAAAGCCAAATTAACCACAGTGCACACAAAGGTGATCACACCTCTCACTGTGAACCTTACACACATTTGTGCCACTCTATTCTCTCCGGAGCTCGCTTGTTGTTTCTAAAGAAAAATGTCAGTGATGTGAGATGGACATGAATATACAGAACATAATGAGCGCTGATGCTGGATGCAGGAGATCGATCTATCGATCTATCTATCTATCTATCTATCTATCTATCTATCTATCTATCTATCTATCTATCTATCTATCTATCTATCTATCTATCTGTGTGTTTAATATATATACATAATAGTCATTTCTTCAGTAAACTATATTGTTTTCAATAATTTATCTTTAAATGACTTGAAAATTATATATTTCCACAGAAAAGCCATAAAATTGTGACGAGTATTTGTGGTTTCCGTGGAATTGGAGGCGTTTTCTGCAAACAGTTATTAGTTTGATTCTAAGGAAAAGTTCAGTGATGTGTGGGTGGACATGCATGCTCCAGGAACATGACACCCACAGACAGACAGAGCCTTTACCCATCAGTGGGAGGAAGATGATGAGCACTTTCAACAGCGACACTGCTCCTCTTCCTCCGGGCGGTGTCAGTGTGGCGCCATCCACAGGTCAAACCTCAACACTGCACCTGATCCAAATGCACAAGTTTTGCTGGGGTCAGTGTCACTGCTGGTACCTGGACCCTACAGAGGGTGGTCCGACTGCTCCAAGATGACACATCAACACGTGCCATTCCCAGGTTTACGGCGTCTCTCAGCACAATCTCAGGATCAAGGAGGAGGTTCCAGAGCCCGGCAAAACGACCTCCAGCAGACGACTGGTGTGAATGTCTCCGAACAATCAGAAACAGACTTTGTGGTCACAAATTTTGAAGCCATCCTGATAACCTTATCCCACCAACGATGTGGTGATCCAACTTTTTTCAGTGTATTTAAAAAGATCCTCTGGAAAAGATTAGAATTCTTGTAAATGAGTTTAATACACAAAAGCACATGAACAGCAGAAACGTACATTTACAGAGAAATAATAGCAGAAGAGCAAAGTGAAGCGAGCCCCAGTCAATTGTCAATTTTGCACTTTGTTCTGATTAAATCTCCGTCCCTGGTGTTACATAACCTTCTGGCACATCCATCACTCTCCGAGCTGTTCCCAACATCAATCATTTATTTGGGTCTTTTTTGACACTTTTAAGACCAGAACTCTGGAAAACGATCAAACATACAGCAAAGAGAAAACAATTCCTCTCCCTGACAGCTTTGTCGGGTTCGCTGTCAGGGGTGGGCTACTATACCCGTTAAAGAAGGGTTTTTCACAGTTTTGGCAACTGCAGATGGGAAACAAGTGTCCCAGGTGCACTCTCAGGCAAAGTGTGTTTACTTTATGGGTTAGAGATGGATGCTTCACCACCTGCTGGCAGCAGAGAGGCTCCCAGCTGCAGCCCAGCCCATACTTGTGAATAATATTTGATCTAAAGATGTGGATCTTGGGATTTTAAACATGCAGGTTAAAAGCTTATCAATGTGATTCCATTTATATAAACACTCCAGTGCAGATGTACAGAGAGAGGATACGAGTATATATGATTACATAGTGTATATGTGAGTATATGTCTGGTGCACACAGGTATATATGTCATAAACATCCACAACAACTTCCTGAGGGCCCGGCGTCCTCTAATAGGCCCTTTGTCTGTCTCCTGTCTCCAGGATTCTGGATTTAGTGTTGGAAAACCTGAAGACAGTCCTCCCTGGAATCACAGTGTCCCTCAGTTTGTTAGTCCACCTTCTTCCATCCATCCCTCTTCATCACATCTTTGTTTTTGGTTAGGGTTTGTGTTTTTAAAAATCTATTTTCCATTTTGTTTGTGTCACAGTTTTGTTTTCATTCAGTTTAGTGTCGGTGTGTCCCGGCCTGGAAGGCCTTACCTTCTTTCATTTATCCAACCACACTGTTAGTTTCTCATGTGTGTGTTATTGTCTGCTTGCTTTCACATGTTTCCCAGTTTTGAATTGTTCCGTATCCGAGGTGTGATCCCAGGTTCTCCTGTTCTTTTCCTCTGACCTTGTTCAGCACTGACAAACTCAAAGGCTTTAACACGTTTAATGGTCGGCTGGTAAAAACTACCCGAAAAAGAAAAACCTGCAAAATCTGAACAAAACTGTGAAAATGTGCATGAAAAATGTATAAAGAAGAAAATAATATTTCAAAAAGAACATGTTAAAAATCAATTAATTTAAAAACAAGAAAGAAAAATATGAACACTTTTAATGGTTCTTTGATATTCTGTGCGAAGATCAATGCTGCCATTGATTCAGCCCCACAGGGCCCACCCTGCAGGGCTCAGCCAGCCTCAGAACCAAGCCCGGCCGTGCACACACCACATAAACGACACAAAGACGCACATGCACGCTCGCCCATCTGAAGTGTGGTGAGCAGAGCAAAGGGAAAAAGAGTCGTGACAAGAGTCTCTGAAATGTTGAACTTATTTTATTTTAAAAAACAATTTAAAAAAGAGATTCTGGGAGGCCAAAAATGTTTCAAGCTTTATTTTTTAGTCGTGAACAAAAGAAACGAAAAGAACTCAAATCAGTGCAGCGGTGAAAAAACAAAACATTGCCTCAAGTTCAACTCCCCCCGGCAATCAAGAAAACTCCTCCTTTTTAATCAAAAAAAAAAAACGTTCAAAATAAACAAGGTGAAAACCCAAACCCCGAAAAAAAAATCCTTTACTTTTTCATTGTTTCCTTGATCCAGGGGATGAAGAAACGGACTTTAGTGAACACGTGGGGGTAGCTGAGATCAGTGCAGTCCTCTGGTGAGGTGTAAGCTGTTACACCTTGAAGCTTATTCTTGCAGATGAGTGGTCCACCAGAGTCTCCCTACAAAACAGGCAACAGAAAAACTTCCCTCAGTCAGTAGCAGTTATCATTCATCACTAAACGTTCAGTAGTTAGTCTGCTTCACATGTGACATACCCGGCAGACGCCTCCACTCCTTTTGGTAAAGTTGGTGCAAATCATGTGATCAGAATTAAAATATTGTTGCCAAATGTTTTCACAGTTAGACGTGGCCTCTATGTTCTCTGTGGCTTCCTTTAACACATTTGAGGGACAGTCATGAGCTGTAGTCCATCCCCAGCCGGCCACAGCACATTTCATGTTAGCTGATGTTTTTCCTTCAGGCAGGCCGATGGTCTTCACGTTCTTACTGAGTTTGGCTTTCTTTTTCAACTGTGGACACAGTGTGTTTGAGAGAGCAGTTACTTCCTGATTTTAGGTTAAAATAATATCTCCTACCTCACTGCATAATGCAGCGTGACAGATATACTGCCAACAGTGCTTCACAGTGAGGTTAGCCTAAATATTCATTTTATTATGAAGCTTTAAACACTCTTAGTTTTACCTTCAGTAACATGATGTCATATTCGTATTGTCCAGTGAACCCTGGATGAGCGAAATACTCGTCCACTTCGATG